AGCTCAATCTGCAGTCCTGCTTTCAGCACTGGAAAGCTTCGAGGCATGTACCCGCTAATTGCACACTGTGTTTCCCGATTAGATGAGCACTTGGAGAGGACGACGGCAAAAGATGGCATTATCGACACAAAGGAGACGATGGCCTACTTTACTATCGACGTAATAGCATTGACAGCCTTTGCCACTGATGTGAACTCAAACCACGAAGATCGCAGCAAGCCAAGTCCCTTTGTCTTCCACGGACTAAACATCTTCAAGTTTGATCCCTTCAAGATGATGGTTGCCTTCTCAATGCCTCGTTTTATCTGTGACCTGTTCAATGTGCACCACCTTTTTCCAAATGAGTCTTTTCAGTTTTTTGTTGACCTGACCAGTAAAATTGTAGAGGAGAGAAAGGTGAAACCAGCAAAGAAGAACTCTGATCTAATTCAGATGATGATTGACTCGTTTACTTATGAAGAGGATCTGGAAAATGACACCTATGACTCGTTAACTGCATCAATGGACGTCGATGATGGTATGTTTGTACTTACACTTTTCATTTGTTTGATCTGACCACTTTATGCTTTAAAACACTGTAGAGAGTGGAGAAACAAAAAATGACAGCGGCTCANACACTTTTCATTTGTTTGATCTGACCACTTTATGCTTTAAAACACTGTAGAGAGTGGAGAAACAAAAAATGACAGCGGCTCAAAGCTGAAAAAGCAAATGAACACTACTGAAATTATTGCCCAATGCATCCTCTTTTTTATCGGTATAAATTCTCAATTACTCATCTTTTACCCATTACTAACAATAACAATTTTTGTAACTCGTTTAGCCGGATTCGAGACGACCTCAGCAACACGTGAGTACTTCAAACAGTTCATCAGATTTTGTCAACAAAAACATGTTAATTTTTTGTTCTGGCAGTGACCCATGCTTTGTTTGAGCTTGCCAGTCACCCTGAGATACAGGAACGATTGGTGAAGGAGCTCGATGAGCAGTTGGAGGGTGTTGACAAGTCCGACCTGAACCGGTACTACGACGCCATCATCAACAAGGCGCCCTACCTCGAGGCAGTGGTGAAGGAGACGTTGAGAAAGTACCCGCCGGTCGTACGACTGGAACGACGAGTCGAACCAAAGGAAGGGGTGCAGCTAGGGCAACTTCACCTCGATCATGGCGTTCTCATAGAAATACCCACCATTTCAGTGCACTATGATCCGGAATACTATCCAGGTAAGTTTTCTATTTACAGAAATAAAAATTAATTTCTTTTTTTGTAGAACCAACCAAGTTTGACCCGGAGCGATTTATGCCTGAGAACAAGGACCGTCTTGTGCCGTACACCTATCTGCCCTTCGGGACGGGTCCGCGAAATTGAAAGAAAAATTTGAATCTTTTCTTGATAAGCAACAGAGTAATTTAATCTGTTTTATTTTTTTGCAGGTATCGGCATGCGTTTCGCCTACCAGGAACTCAAACTGTGCCTGGCCTCGCTTTTACCAAAGTATCAGTTCAGCAAGTCAGCCAAGACGCCGGAAATTTTGACCTTTAGAAAAGGTCAGTTCATGATGAACTGTGAACAGTTTGAGTTGAGTGTAAAGAAGCGCAATTAAAGAATATTCTACATTGATAACAAATCAATTTTTGAAAAAAATTTTATAAAACAATTATTTTATAAAATTCAATATGATTTACTCTGTGTCGGTTTTTGTGTTTTT